AACATCTTACTTTTTCAAGAGAAGTAAAAAACTATTTCTAAGATCTTTTTTTTTTTTTTTTTGCATTAACTGCTGTAGAAGAATGAGATAGAAACTGCTAAGATATACACTACTATATACTCTCTATCAAGACTTTCCCTCTTCAGAGTCTTGATATTATAGAGAATATAAGTCTGTTTCTATATAATAATATAAATATTGTCAGTGAGATGTAGAGAAACTGGTTATTTATATCTTAAAATAGAAGACTTTGTCAATGATTATATTAATATAGAGTTAATTCTCAAATTCAATAGAAATCTAGTATTGCTGTTCTCAATCTCTTGCAGAATCTATTAAATATTGAGATATTAAAACTAGATTTAATATATCTCACTGTGCAGGGATCAAAGGCTCAGTCAGATCTTGAAGTATACTGATTTTATAGTTGTTGTGTCTGCTGATTATGTATCAAATACAGTTGCTGAGGTATCTTTTTGTACTTTTCTGCTGGGGATGGGGCAGATCGGAAGGTGCAGTACAAGGGTGGGACTTGGTGTAAAGACAGAGAGGGTTTTTTGCGGGGGATGCGCTTCAGATGTGTCTGTTGATTATGTGCTTGATACTATTGCCGAGGTATCTTTTTGTATTTTTCTGCCGGACGTGGGCCAGATTGGGAAGGGCGGTACGTGGGTGTGACTTGGCGTTGATGTTTTGGAACATCAAAGATAGACAGGGTTTTCGTGGAAGTTGCTTCTCAGATATCTCCACAATTACAGGTCGGGGATCTTCCAAAATCAAGAAGATTGGCGCATATGGCTAGGTCTCTTTGCCTTACAATTTGTATGGCAATTTGGCCCGGGGTTGTGGTGTGGTAGGGGTGAACGGGGGATAATCCCACTCAGGAGTTTCGAACAACGTCTGGTTCACGTTTGGCTGGATAACTCCACCACCACACGGGGTATGCGGTCGGCGATGGGGTCAAAATGCTCGTATGATCAAGGGCTTTTCGATGGATCTATCGGCGGGTTCTTATTCGAAAAATTGAGCGAGTTCGTGGTGGAGCGGTTTTGAAGCTAGAGAGAAATCATCTGAAGTGATTTTTATCTATAGCTATAAATTAATTAGTAAGAAGTAAAAAATTAATAGAAGAAAGAAATCTATTATAAGATTAAAATAATGCTTAAAATATGTTAAATTGTCTACAATCTTGCATTTTTAATTGATATTTCAAAGATAGAGTGACTTGATTATATTCTTATAACACTGACAGAATCATAACACTCAGTTGATTTCAATAGATGCTTTTAGAATCTCAATAACAAGATTATGAAGGATTTGAGATATACAAGAGAAATCACAATCTGTCAATTGATTGATATGAAAAAGAAGCTGTTCTTCTTATGAATCTGTGAGATTTTTGCAGTGAATAGAGCTTGCTTTCTTTCTTGATATTTGAACATCTCTATACTGCTGTGATAATGTATATTGACTGATTCCATATTTTTTAGCAGTCTCAGTGTAATTAGGGATCAATTGTGCATTCAAATCATCAATTGCTGCTTGTATAACTGCTTCATGGTGCATGTTGTGAGTGGTTGAAGATGGATGAAAAAATGAAGATTGGACGGGTGTTGGGTGTACGCGGGCGTTGGGTGGTTGATTACGTTAGTAAATAGTTAATTAACTAGTTAACTAGTGTTGGCCACACTTAACAAAAAGATGTTAGCGGAAAACTCTAACATTGTGACGGGGAATCTCTCGCGACAGCAGCATCTCTCCAACAATTCCCCGCATCACCAAAATATCCCCCTGTTCTACCTGATGCGTAGTTAATCTAGTGCCAGGGCTAGATCTCATATCACCAGTGCTCGTTATAAGTATCCTTTGCCTCATTTATCTTGCCCCATTGTAACGCTTAACAGCCATGGAGGCGGAAATCCAGAAACGGATACCTGGCATCGATCATGTGATATCGGAATACTCAGTGGTAAGAACCCCTTTAGCTATTGCTACGCTAGGTATCGTATCTCTATTGTTGGGATATGCATTTCTACGTGTTTGAATATATGCAAAAGCCTAGTCCAAACTCTTCTCATATGGTTCCGCTAATCTCCACCCCAGGGCTATTTAACACATGCATCCAAAGCTTACGTTGAGGATTCTGATCCAAATGGACCCTCGCCCTTGTCAGAAGCTGCAGAGACCATCTCAGCGCTACTCATATCAGCTTCTGGGGACTTCAGTCCCAAAAATGAAGAAGAAATTCAGAATCTGATCAAGAAATTCATCTCAACTCTCAGCGCCGCAAATGGCGTCGATGCCAAAGCCCATGTGCCATTTGCGGCCAAAAAGCTAGACCAGACCATCCATGTGGGCTCGCAGCGCAATATGTCATCGACCCTAGGCCTGGCTGGGGGCTCTGTTGACCTGGAATCTGCCAATACGCGAAAAGTGGAATCCCGCGTCGACAAGAAGAAGCTAGAAAAGGCAGAGGCCAAGATCCGCGCGAAGCAGGAGAGGAAAGAGATGAAGACGGTCGAGTATGAGGCGTCACGCTTGCTCAAAGAGCCGGAGTCTACACAGTCCTATGAAGAGTTCTACATGGCCGTTAACCCCTTGCAGTTGGGCGCCGATGCGTCGAAGAGCAAGGATGTCAAGGTCGACGGCTTCGATGTTGCTATCTCTGGCAAGCGGATTCTGACAGATGCGTCGTTGACGTTGGCATATGGGAGGCGCTATGGTTTGGTGGGCCAGAACGGTATCGGAAAGAGTACTCTGCTTCGTGCGCTGAGTCGGCGAGAAGTGCCTATTCCCACGCATATTTCTATTCTTCATGTTGAACAAGAGGTATTTGGGTTCTTTCAAAGTGTGTTATCTTGGGTTTGACTGACTGTGCGCTTTTAGATTGCTGGTGACGATACTCCGGCATTGCAAGCTGTCCTGGATGCTGATGTTTGGCGGAAACACCTTCTGAAGGAACAAGATGTTTGTCCTGCTCTACGGATACTCTCTGAAGATGGTTTTGCAAATTACTGAACTAACCTTTCGTGCAGAGAACCTCAGCCGAGCTTGCGTCCATTGAGCAGGAGCGTTCATCCATGGCAGACACTTCGAAAGATGCTATGCGTCTCGACCAGGAGCGGGAGGCGCTCGACGTCACGCTCAGTGATATCCACAGCAAGCTAGCAGAAATGGAGTCGGATAAGGCAGAGCCTCGTGCCGCAAGTATCCTTGCCGGGTTGGGCTTTTCCCCAGAGCGGCAGCAGTTTGCCACAAAGACCTTTTCTGGAGGATGGCGTATGCGTCTCGCTTTAGCCCGTGCTCTATTCTGCGAGCCTGATCTTTTATTGCTCGACGGTCCGTCTTTTCTTCTACCCGGGTTCTTGTCCAAATTCCCATACTGATTACCTATGGACGGCACATGCTAATTCGATCCCCGGACTACAGAACCGTCTAACATGTTGGACGTCCCCTCCATTACGTTCTTGTCAAACTACCTCCAGACTTATCCAAGCACAGTCTTGGTTGTTTCTCACGATCGATCATTCCTCAACGAGGTCGCAACTGACATTATCCACCAACACGCGGAACGATTGGACTACTACAGAGGTGCTAATTTCGGTATGCTTTCTCTACCCAGGAACTTCGACAAGCGAGATATTCAGAAAAATATATGCTAATTACTCTGTAGAATCATTTTACGCTACCAAGGAAGAGCGAAGAAAGACTGCCAAACGCGAATATGAAAACCAAATGGCTCAAAGAGCTCATCTACAAGGTGCCTACACCATATTACCTAAATTAAGTAAATGTGTAGATTTACTAACATTCCACAGCTTTCATTGATAAATTCCGCTACAACGCCGCCAAGTCCTCGGAAGCGCAATCGAGAATCAAGAAACTCGAGCGCATGCCCGTTCTGGAACCGCCTGAGAACGAATACGTCGTCCACTTCAAATTCCCCGATGTCGAGAAGCTATCTCCGCCTATCGTTCAGATGTCAGAGGTCTGCTTCGGCTATACGAAGGACAGGCCACTTTTGACGAACGTCGACTTGGATGTGCAGCTAGATTCACGGATTGGTATTGTTGGGCCTAACGGCGCTGGTAAAACCACTGTGTTGAAATTGCTCATTGGCCAGTTGCAACCCACGTCAGGAGTCATATCCCAGCATCCTAGGCTCCGGATAGGGTTCTTCGCGCAGCACCATGTGGATGCACTGGATATGAATACCAGTGCCGTTGGGTTTATGGCAAAGAATTATCCTGGTCGAACTGATGAAGAGTACCGGCGACATCTTGGAGCGTAAGAAACCGAAACCCCCTTTTCCTTTTTGTTTAATCTATATGCACGCCTGCTTTCAAACGGTAAAGCTAATTATTTGTCTTTCTTTTGGAAAAATCTAGTTTTGGCATCACCGGCATGACCGGCCTTCAAAAGCTCGAACTTCTATCCGGGGGCCAAAAGTCCCGCGTTGCATTCGCATGTCTCTCGCTCACGAACCCGCACATCCTGGTTCTCGACGAACCGTCCAATCATCTTGACATCGAGGCAATGGATGCGCTATCTGATGCGTTGAGGAATTTCCAGGGCGGCGTGCTGATGGTCTCTCATGACGTGACGATGTTGCAGAATGTGTGCACAAGCCTATGGGTTTGTGATCATGGGACGGTGGAGAAGTTCCCTGGCGATGTCAAGGCGTATAAGAAGAGGATTACAGAACAGGCCAATGCGGTAGGGGTGGTTGCTGCGCATTAGACGACTTGATTACTCGTTATTGCGTATAGATGAGGCAAGGGACTTTGGTATGAATAGATACAGTAGTTCTTAGATATTAGTCTGAATGAAATAACTATCATCGCAGTACTCTGTAGATTCAGATACGTATTATTATTACCCAGCAATGCTCAACAATATGGGCGGAACAGTACGGTATTGATGTATCACGAATACCCACCTGCACATGACGTCTTCCGCCAACCGAAACCCCATCTTGATTTAATATCTATCTATTATTAGTTAGATCTAGACACGGCTTCTTCTCAACCACAACAACACCAAGTTACACCATGACGCTCGCCATATGCCATCTGCTCACTCCCCCCACGCGATAGTAGACACTACTGCGGCGTCAGCACACGAGGATTTGGAACTACAAGACATGAATTCGTCTGCTGCTAATAACCCTGAAGCTCCGCTGCTAGACCACCGGGATGCAACTCCTCGCTCTCCGCCGCCTAGATACTCTGACCAGTTCGGAAATGAGGACGCAAGTAATAATAATGACAGTGGAAGACGGTCTCTGGGACAGGCGCCAGCGACTGCATCCGCAGGGTCTGGAGGCTGGTTTATCTGGGCACTAACATGTTCAGCGGGGATTAGCGGTTTGCTTTTCGGATATGAGTAAGAGCTTCCTTTTACTGTCCTTTTTATCCAGCTATAGCGATATTCCTTGTTGGAGGAAAGGGACTAGGTGGAAAATATAGGTCCACTCGTTTTCCAAATTCTACGCCCAAGGGGAAGCGTTATTGCTAACTATCCGTTACTCTCGATATCATGGAACAGCACTGGTGTTATCTCATCCACCCTGGTTTCGATCGGAACTGACCTTTCAGGTCGCTCGCTCACCACGCTTGACAAGAGTCTAATCACATCGTGCACTAGCCTATTTGCGTTGATAGTGAGCCCATTCGCGGGTGTTCTGGGGGATAAACTTGGCCGCAAACCCATCATACTCATCGCGGATGTTTTGTTTATCGTTGGGGCGCTATGGCAGGCCTCATCCCCCAGTGTCTGGAGTATGATAGTGGGCCGGAGCCTTATTGGATTGGGGGTTGGAGCGGCTAGTCTGATTACTCCTCTGTACGTTTAAATGACCTCATTCATATAGGCAGAAGCTAACGGAACCATGCGCAACAGGTACATATCAGAACTTTCACCACCTGATATCCGCGGCAGATTGGTAACCATCCTAAGCCTCTTTGTGACCGGCGGTCAAGTCGTCGCATACACTACCGGCTGGCTCTTATCAACCACCCACGCGGGCTGGAGGTGGATGGTCGGCCTCGGAGCCCTCCCGGCTATAATCCAGCTATCTATCCTTCTCTTCCTCCCGGAAACCCCGCGCTGGCTTGTCCGTGCCGACAAACAACGCGAAGCCCGTCGAGTCGTGCACAGAATCTACGGCTCCTCCAACCCTCGGATCCCAGACCAACTTGTCCGGGACATCGAGCGCGAACTCGTCGCGGAGGAGAATGCCACGGATGATCTTCTCAAATCCTTAAACCAAGAAGTGTCCGACAGCCACTGGCTCCGCCTGCCCCGTAGCTGGGCCGCCCTTTTTCAAATCGGCGGCAACCGCCGCGCCCTGACAATCGCCTGCATGCTCCAGTCCCTCCAACAACTCTGCGGCTTCAACTCCCTCATGTATTTCAGCGCCACCATCTTCTCGCTCCTGGCCTTCTCCTCGCCAACGCTAACCTCCCTCTCCGTCGCCGTGACAAACTTCCTCTTCACCCTCCTCGCCTTCTCGCTCATCGACCGCATCGGCCGCCGCCGCATCCTCCTCTCCTCCATCCCCATCATGACCACAGCCCTCCTCCTCTGCGGCCTCGCCTTCTCCATCTTCGACCCCGCCGCAGCCCGCGATGGCACACCGCCACAGGAACAACGCGGAGAACCAGGCGCAGCGCTCGCCCCGCTGGCTCCCCTGTTAATCCTCACGTCCCTCACGATCTACACCGCGGCCTACGCCTCCGGCATCGGCACGATCCCCTGGCAGCAATCCGAGCTGTTCCCGCTAGGCGTGCGCTCGCTCGGCTCCGCGCTTGCCACGGGGACGAACTGGGGGGCTAACTTTGTCGTCGGGCTCACGTTCCTGCCCATGATGGATTGGATATCGGCCCAGTGGACGTTTGTGATGTATGCGGCTATCTGTGCGGTGGGGTGGGGGTTCATTTGGATGATCTATCCGGAGATGAGCGGGTTGGGGTTGGAGGATGTTAGGGGGTTGCTTGTGGATGGGTGGGGGGTTAAGGAGAGTGTTGAGGGTTTTAGGAGGAGGAGGAGGGAGAGCGGGAGGAGGGAGGAGGGCTGCTCGTAGATTTCGTGGCTTATTAGGTAGGGTTATAGAGTTATAAGATATATGTAATGTACCACTTTGCAGGCTAATGGATAAGTATTCGTTAGCTCCCTTGGTATTGATAATGCTATCAGTGCTATGTATATCCTCAACCTAATAATTCAAAAAGTCTTTGCGCATCTGGATAAATCGGCTTAGATACATTGTTCGAAAAGAAAAAGGGGAAAAGAATAAAAAAAACAAAGCTGACATATTAAAAAGTATTACAACAATATTATACATGTATATATATAAAAGGGGTATCATCTCCAAACAAAAATGGCGCTGAGAAAAACCAAGAAAAAGAAAAGAAACAGAAACAGAAACAGATAGAGATCATTTTCTGTACATCCATTCATCTCCCGTAGTTGTAGATGGTTAGTTATGCGTCATTAGCGAAAATGGGGAATGTTTGCTTTTTTTTTTTTTTTTTTCGTTTCGTTCCCGTTGTCCTTTTCCTTAGGGCGTTGGTAAAATCGATTCACAAGCCCAATTGAACAATTCCAAGGCTCGAATCCTCGCTTTTTCTTTTTGCTTTTTGTTTTTTGCTTTTGGTATTTTTTTTTTTTTTCCCTTCTTTCTTTTGACGACATACCGATTATTTTATTCATTCGCCCATTCGCCCATTCGATTCTGATTCCATTCATTTATCTCATTCATTCATCCTCCAGGAAGTGTTTTGTGGAAAACTTGCTGTGTGCGCGGATCCGCGCGCCGTAGATGTAGAATATGACGGGGATGGGGGCAAGTGCGAGGGCGATGCAGCCTAGGAGGGTGCCGGTCCAGTTTACGCCGAGGGCGGCGAACTGTTGGTTAGGATGTTAGTGGTGAGGTATTTTATGTATATATATATATATATGTGTGTGTGTATGTGTATATATACATGTTAAGTGTGGGATGGAGTAGATGGATGCTTACCAGGCGTTCTGCGAATAGGGGGAATGCGGCTCCGGCGATGGAGCGGAGGAGAGTGTTTGCGGCGATGGCGGAGGCAGCACTATATAGTACGGAGATTTAGGGTTAGTCATTTCTTATCCAGTTGCAGACGGCACAGACTATTCGCTGAAAATTGGGGGAGAGGGATAAAAAACGCTTGAAAATGGGGGTATAAAAAACGTACAAAAGTAAGTACGCATCAATGATATAGTTCAATGCCTGTAGGAAGATCACCAACAGACCGAACCCGGTCAACAAGCCCGATAACGTCGGTACGATCCAGTGGATATCAGCCGTGAAGCCAGACCACCCGAACCAAAACAGTCCTCCGGCGAACGAGAAGCCACCAGCAATGGCGGGCGGCAGGCGCCATTCCGGCACGGGCACGTCGCCATTCGCGGCTAGTTTCCGCGTATACCACGGCTGGGACAGGATGATCGTGAGGCCGCCGATGAGCTGGCCTATGATCATGCCGAAGTACGGCAGGCCGCCGACGCCGGGACTGAAGCCGTGGATGTTCTGGAAGACGATCGGGTACGCGGTCATGAAGAGGTAGAGGATGCCGTAGATGAAGGCGAGGTAGATGCTGAGGAGAAGCACGATGGGCTCGGTGACGAGGATCTTCAGCGGGCGGCTGAAGTTCTTCTCGAGCAGCTCGCGCAGGTCGATTTCGATCTCTTCCTGTTTGGCGTGGATGCCCCAGTTGCGCGTGCGCCGGCGCATCTCGGCGGCTTTGTCCACGAGCACAACCGGCGGGTAGGTTTCTTCGAAGAAGATGCTGTCGAGGATAAAGGCGCTGGCGCCGAAGATGCCGGGGAGGTACTGGGTCCAGCGCCAGCCGAGGTGGCTGGTGACGATGAAGCCGCCTACGAAGGGGGCAAGCAGGGGTCCCGTGAAGACGGTCATGGAGAAGACGGTGATGGCGAGGCCGCGTAGGCGGCTGTCAAACATGTCTGAGAAGACGGCTGCCACGACGGCGAGGGGGCAGGCGCTGAAGAAGCCGCCGAAGAATCGGCACAGCATGATTGTCTGGAGATCCTTGGCGGCGCCGCCGGCGAATTGGAAGATGGTGAAGCCGAAAGTGGCGATGAGGAGCGGGAGGCGGCGGCCCTTGAGCTCGGAGAGCGGGGCCCAGACTAGCGGTCCGGTGGCGAAGCCGAGGACGTAGAGGGAGAGGCCTAGGATGGCGACTTGGGTAGATATGCCGTAGATGCGGGAGACGTCTGCGGCTGCGGTGGAGAAGAGACTGCTGGTGAAGGAGGATATGATGGTGGTCCAGCCTAGGATTATGCCTGTAAAGACTCTGTGCGAGGTGGGAAAGGTTTAATGGAAA